TTTCGTAGAAGAAATTTCAGTTTTTTTTTTTAATATATATGAAAATGGAGTTTAGGAGCTGAAAGTATGGGTGATCAGTGATCACAATTGAATCAAATTTCTTTGTTTCAGCTTGAAGAAATTTGATTCGTGATTTTGAATCAATCTGATTTTGAACTGATTCGGCTAAAATTTATTTCTTTTTTTTTTAATTATATACTTATATATTTGTAAGATTTATGAATCATTTTTAAGCTAATTCGATCTTTATCTATAAATGGGTAGAAATTGCCTGAAAAATTAAGGTTTCGCTTGGAATGATTTTTTTTTTTCTTTTGAAAAATTTTTGTATTAATTTTTTTTAGAAAGTTATAAGAAATTTGTTCTAATCAAAGCCTAAATCTAGCTTTTTTTTTTCTTATTTGACTTGGTTGGTGCTTGTTTTGAGCCAAACATCAACTAATCTCCCGGTCAAAATTTAATTCCTAGTTGTAATATTAGGCTTGGTTTACTACAATTGTTTATGGTTTAGATCATCTTCAACCGAATTGCATACGGTGGTATGCCGTCCGTCATTCACTACATTCGAACGTTAAATCGCACCTCAAAATTTGGTATATGAACAGTGTGATGCCAATATTGATTACCTTCGACAATTTTTGGTGTTATGGAATTTACTAAAGAAGTTTGAAAGAGGAGAAACCTTCACAGCAAGATGAAGAAGCACGTGAAAGAGAAGAAAGAAACAAATTCAATTGAATATGATTTCCTATATTTTAAAGTTTTACTATATGTTGGAGTGAAAAATAAGTTTTTCAGTTGGAGATGCCCTTATTCTATTTTGGCATATGCTTAAATCTATCCTCAATCAAAATCAAAATTAAAATAAATTATTTTATTTGTATTTATTATGATTATTTCAAATGCTCTCAATCTCTTTTTTTTCTATAAATTCAAGAAGGAGGCGATGGGTAAAGAAGGCGATAAACAAAGGGATGCAGCAAGAGGTGACCTAAAGGGCAAGAAATGAGACGACGTAGATAAGGTAGCCGAATGAGGCTGTCAAGTGGCAACGTGGAGCCTAAATTCGTTCCAATAGTTTTAGAAGATGAAGCAGTAACAGTATATACAACAGTCTCGCAACTATCTTATCATATTGCTTTCTCTTTCGCTTACAGTGGCAATAAGATTTCCAGTAAGAATGTAAAGAACAGAGACCCCAGTACTCTACGGTTGTAACAGATACTATCCTGACTTGTATTTTGGAGCGTAGCGTCACGGACTAAAAAAGAACTCCTTTTTCTTTTCTCTACTTACTCTTGGTTTGGCCCATTCCGGCTTGGACTTCTGGGCATTCAGAGAAGCTTTGGCTCTTCAAAGTTGTCTCTCAGTAAACAATGCAGAAGAAATGTTAAGAGCGCAGCATCATCGACTGGGCGAGCCTGATTATTATTATTATTTTTAGATTTTTTTGGGACTATTTTTTGTTGATTCTTATAGCAGCTTTATAGTATAAAAAATTTAAATTTTTACTAAAAAAACTGTTTTAAGAAGTAAAAAAAAACTGTCCCAAATGAAATCTGAATACCATATATACACAGCTCACCTTCGCCTGTTGGTTGAGAGCTTATGCTTCCAACTAAGAGGCATTGGGTTTGAGTCTTTGTGTCTGCATTGTGTGTATGAATTTAACTTAAATGACCTAAATGTAAAAAAAAAAAAAATCTGAATACCATGAAGTATTATTGGTTTTTGACTTATTGGTTCGTGTACTCTATTTGGTCAAATGGGGCCGCCCCCTACATAAATGTTAATTATGAAGGCACTGTCTGCGTTAAGAGAATTGAATAAAAGGAAAAAAAAAATACTAAGCTGCTTTAAATATTTCCGAAGTTTTGCAATGTGTACTGTAGCTTGTGCTGCTAGACCCAGTGGCACATGGCAATGCTTGCCTCGTTCGACAGGCAAGGCAAGCATTTATTATCGTTTAGTGGCGTGGTGGGGCGAAGTATTAGGATCAATTATGTTTCAGCACTAGTATTTATATCATGAGAATACATTATGACAGCCCATCACTTTCTTTTTACGTACATTGAAGTTCTCTTATAAATAGTTTGCCAAATAAGTTTATTCATTAAGAAAATATTTTGATTTTATGGGCGTATAAAATATTGCTCAAAGTTTATTAGCTGTTTGTTAGGCTGTCTTAGTCCAGAAAAATTATTCTATGCAAAGACCGGATGCAGCTCTATGTCTGGAGATGAATCAGGTGCAGCCACGTCAACGATATTGAGCCGCGATATCAAACATTACCGAGCCGCAGTACTGAGCACTACCGAGTGGGTACATAGTGAAGGGGTGACATGGCGTATTCTGATTGGTCTCCGGACGACATTCAATATCCTCATATAATAATTTTCCCTGAGTCCGTCAACTGGAGAACTTTGGATCAGCCCGAGTAAACTTCCCGCACAACAAAGGTCCATTCTTGTCCGAAGCAAATAAGGACGATGAAAAATTCCAGTAGGGGATGAAAACTCAGTGTAGAGGTAGATATAGTAGTGTTTTTGAAGGATTTATGTAATTTGGAAAGCATTTTTGTCATACATTATGGATTATTTTTGTCATATAAAACATGCAGTTTTCAATGCCTAAATCAAATAAACCCTGATGTTTATTTGGCTGATTGATTCCCTATAATAATAGCAAGTTTTAATATCACGAATAGTTAGTTGATTTGTTTTTTTAATTTCTCAGAACAAACAAAGCTCATCTATAACTTAATTCTAAGGTTTCTGATACCAGATTGTTAATCTCTTGCTTTAAATTTCCTTAAAAAAAAAAAAAAGAACTCGTTCTCTTATTGTAGTTTTATTCTTAAGTGACGTTACTATATTCGTTGTAGAGGTTTATACCGATTTCATTTTTACTGTTGATGTGAGGATGAGAAGTGTATTTGATGTTTTTTCAAGAAGTGTACAAAGCCTTCTATATTTAGAGAGCAATTAAAATAAAATAAAATTTTTGTTCAAGTCAATATATATAAATTTGCATTAGATTCAATCAATTTTGGAGACCAAAAAAAGTTAAATCAGGTTCAAATTTGCATTAAAAAAATGACTTGACTTGTTTGATATGCATGAAGTATTCTTTTTTTTTTATAAAATATTATTTATGCTTCTCAATTTATTATGAAATTAAAAAACTTGTGTGATTATTTTTAAGTGTGATGGTTGATTTTAATGTTTTAAAGTTATAAAATAATCCTAATTTATCAGTCCTAAAATAGTCTAGTTGGGCCTAAAACAAAACTAGATGAAGATAATTTGAGTAATTATTGAATTTGTACTTTTTTTTTTGGTTCAAACTCACATAGAGGCCTGCGCGTTAAATAAATGCAAGATTACAAGTCTTTATTGAATCCAAAACCCTCTAAAAATACATCATTTAAAATAAAACCTATGAGCCTTGGATTCAAACTAAATAAAAGAACAAACAAATGAAAAGATAGAACCAAATAGCTGAACCAAAAAGAGAACAAGCAGTCAACAAAGGAGTGGCAAACTGGAAGCAACCAGAGGCATAAGTACGCGAGATCCTTGAAGACAACACCCAACAAAGAAGAAATAAAATAATGAAGGCACCAAGAGGCCAACTAGAATAAACATCTAATCAACACAAAAAGGAATCCTAACAAACACAAGAAAATAAAAACCTCACTCAAACTTCTACAAAACAACCTCAACCTCCCTAAACCTAAAATATACAACCGAGAGAGACTGATACAACAGCCCAACCCACAAACAAAAACAGCCACACAAAACTAGCTAAACAAAGAATCACATCTTCTTAGATTTATCCTTCTACGCTTACCATCCCCGTGGGAAAAAATCTTGCCAACTGTGCGACCCACATTCAAATTATACCTCGTCTGAAACTCCTCATCAAGCCCAACAAAGTCTTCCATATCATTTATGCAAGGTGATGAACCAAATTCATCAAAACAATCACACTGGGCCACACAAAATTCCTTAACATTAAGTGCCAATTGAGCTTTCAGAACATCACTAGATATAAGGGAAATCAGAACTTCAATAAGAGGCAAGCTCACATCCGCAACCACCATATCCAAAGAATTGACAGAGACATTATCCACTCCACAAGAAGAATCATTCAGACTATCATAGACATTAACAGATCTATCAGATCCTGCCCAATCATGATAGGAGAATTAACAAGAGAGGTATCAGCCATCTTGTTAACATCACACAAGCCCAAATTCATCATATTCACATTTTAATTACAAGGTTCAAGATCAATTTCTTGATGAGCCATCTCAACAATAGCAAACGAATCAACAACATTAAAAGCAACAATAGCCATCAATTTCTTAATGAGCCATCTCAACAATACCAGACAACCAACATTAAAAGCTATGTGAAAATCAAATTAGGGAAAATTGCACGACCATAATTGAATGTAAGAAATAAGGTGTCCTACGAATTAAAACTTTGAAAGATTTTGTGAAAAAAAAAACTCCTATCACATGCAAAATTGAGTTTTTTCCATCCTAAATAGTAACTTCATATATTCATGACTGTCTCATGTACTAATACTATGCAACAACAACAATATCAAGCCTTTATCCAACCACGTGGGTTGACTATATGATTTTTTTTCTCCATTGTGTTTTATTAAACATTAAATTATCATTTAAAACTAATAAAAATATCGAATCTAATCTTATAACTAAGTCTTTTCATGTTTGTCTCAATTTTTCTTAACATAAGTCATATTTATTAATGCAGCTGCTCTCTTAATTGGGCCATCTATGTGAACAAATCGTTTAAAATAACTCCAAACCAGCATCATGTAATAATCAGCGTGCGAACAGCACTTTTCCTTGGTGGAGACTGGAGATTATGTTATTCTCATTTTTTAATGAAATTTTGATGGTAAAGGGCGAATAACCGCGCACAAATGTTAGGCGCACTAAAAATGTGTTCACAACCTTTCTTCTGGTGATAACTGATCAGCGATCAGCGAAGTCAAAGGCGGAACAGCGAAGACCATCCATCCAAAAGCACACGAGAGATAGCAGCCATGGCTTCCCCCATTCCTCATGCAGTACTAATCCCCGAGCCAGCCCAAGGCCATGTAACCCCACTCCTACAGCTCGCCAAGATCCTCCACCATAGAGGCTTTCACATCACCTTCGTCAACTCCGAATACAACCACCGCCGATTTCTGAGGTCCCGCGGCCCCACCTCACTCGACGGCGTCGCCGGCTTCCGCTTTGAGGCAATTCCCGACGGTTTACCATCGTCGGAAGATGACGACGTCACACAAGACATCCCGCAGCTGTGCCTATCGCAGGCAAAGCACTCTGTTGCCCCTTTCAGGGAGCTGTTGCTGCGGCTAAACTCCGTCTCTGGATCGCCGCCGGTGAGCTGTGTAGTGGCTGATGGAGTGATGACTTTTGCACAGAGAGTGGCGGAGGAGATGGGGATCCCCTCCGTCGTGTTCTGGACGACGAGTGCTTGTGGGTTCATGGCGTATCTTCACTTTGCTGAGCTGATAAAAAGAGGCTATGTTCCACTTAAAGGTGCGTGCTTGATTTTTGCTACCTTGCTGCCTTCGTTAATGTTTTCTGGGTAATTTGGTTTGAAATATTCTATAGAATTTTGTTATTTCAAGTTTGCTAATTAATCAGAAGCGCTAAACCAATAGAGGATTAAACCCTTTTCAAACACCAGCTTTTTCATCATTAAGGATCTATTTACTCATCAAGCATTAATCTTTTGTGAATCATTTCTAAACTCAACAGTAAGCTTCTTACTCAATTAGTACTATTCATAGCCTTAAGCACAGTTATCTTAGATTATTATCCATCGTAATATATAAGAACGCACATTTAATGTTAAGTTCAAACGGATAAAATTCGCTAAGGGTTTGGATCAATTACAAAGTCTCTCTTTTGCAGATGAAAGCTACCTAACCAACGGCTATCTCGAAACACCAATAAGCTGGATCCCCAGCATGCCAGGCATCCGCCTCAAAGACTTCCCCAGCTTCATCCGCACCACCGACCCTAACGATATCATGCTAAATTTCGATGGAAACGAAGCTCAGAACGCCCGCACCGCCCGCGGCCTCATCCTCAACACCTTCGATGAACTGGAAGACTCTGTCATCCAAGCGCTCAACTCCATTTTCCCAAATCTCTACACCATTGGTCCCCTCCCTCTCTTCATCTCCCAACAAACAACAAATAACAGCTCCATCAGCTCCAATCTATGGAAAGAGGACCTCAGCTGTCTCCAATGGCTGGACAAACAGGAAGCTTGTTCTGTTCTGTACGTCAACTTCGGCAGCATAACGGTGGTCACGGGAGATCAGCTTAGGGAATTTGCGTGGGGTTTGAAAAACAGTGGTATCCCCTTCTTGTGGATAATGAGGCCGGATCTGGTGCGCGGGGAGGAGAAGGCGGCCGTTGATGAGGTTTTGGAGGGAGTGGAAGAAACTGGGAGAGGGAAAGTGGCGAGATGGTGTGTGCAAGAGGAAGTGCTCGGGCACAGAGCGGTGGGAGGGTTTTTGACGCATTGCGGGTGGAATTCGACGATGGAGAGTATATGTGGTGGTGTGGGGATGATTTGTTGGCCGTTCTTTGCGGAGCAGCAGACCAACTGTAGGTATTTGTGTGGAGAATGGGGAATAGGAGCGGAGATTGAGGGGGATCTGAAAAGGGATAAGGTTGAGGGGATTGTGAGGGAGGTGATGGAAGGGGAGAAGGGGAAGGAAATTAGGGTTAGGGCGAAGGAGTGGAAGGAGAGGGCGAGGAGAGCGGTGGCAATCGGGGCGTCGTCGTTTGAAGGATTGGAGAGGTTGGTGAGTTTTCTAAGGAATGGGTGTAATTAAGTTTGTTAAATGATTCATGAAAGAAATGAAATGGATCAGTGGTTTGAATTTATTTTGCATCAATTTTTGAAGAGATTATTGTGTTCTGAGCTTGGATACATAGAATCGTTCGGTTTTATTTCCGTGAAGGTACTAAAAGAGCAATGTTTTTCATGATCGTGCTTTTACTGTTTTTCGATGTACTTTTACAATGCTTTTAATATTTACAGAGATAAAGTCGGATGATTCTCTGTCTGATTTTTTCATATATACTCAAAATTTTTATATTTTGTCTATAAATCATAAACAACTTTAATATTAAATATGACACTCATATATTTCATTCCCACCACTCAAATCAACTTATAAAATTTATATTTCAGTTATTGCACTCATATTTGATCTATAAATGATAAGCATGAAACAATAAAATTTTGATTATTAGATATATAAATAATATGATTTAAAGTGGTATGAATGTAAATTCCCTTAGTTCTTTTGTGTGTATGTTTGCAAGGATTCCAGAAAAAAATTTAGGCCAAAAGCTTCATAAATAATTATATATATAAAATAAATGATCAAAGAAAAAATATATTTGTTTTGAATTATAAGATATAAGTATAACAACTAAAATAATTACTCTTTTACAGTTTTACTAAAAAAATGACATGAACACTCGTTTTTTGTCATAAGCTAAAATAACGCGCGGACCCAATGAAGAAAATTCTTTCATTCCAGTTCCAATCATGCCCATGCAAGTAGGCGAGCTGATGAGCACAAATCATTGATGTATACTTATTATAAACAGATCAATCCATAAAAGAATGACAAATATATTAATTTTAGTAGAAGCTTTCAATTGTTCACTGATTGAATTGCCAATTTTTTTCGCCTTCAGCATTTCTCATTTCCTTTTATTCACATGATCTTGTATACAGAAATCCAACGGAAATAATACTGCAAAATGAGGTATATATGAGGCATCTCTGATATTTCTATTGACTTTGATCTTCAGTTCCCATCAAATTAAAGAGATCTGGCTTCTTTAAACATCTTGGCTTGCGTTGTTACCGCCAGTTGTTACGGATGTATTAGGAGCTTCAGCGCCTGAAACTTTAAATCACAGAATTTGTTAGGCGGAAAATAATTCAAAGATGTAATTTTCTTCAGATATATGTGATGGAAATCATCTTTATTTCTCTCAATTCAAATTCTGGTTGGGACAACTTTTTTAATATTTTCTAAAGCAGTTTTTAAAAGTTTATTTAAATAGTAAGAGAAATTATTCTGTGCAGACACCGGACCGTCTGGAGGCAAATCAGAACGTGCCATGTCACTCGGTACAGAGCCACAATACACAGAAAAAAGTGATGTAGCGTATTCTAATTTGACTCCGAACGGCACCCGTATTCACACAGAGACTATTGATGTCTATCTGTAGTCTGAAAAATATTTACAAATTTTATTTTTATGACGATTTATTACTCATCAAATATGCGAAAAAAAAAAACATAGCATTGCATAGAAGAGAGGCCACTAAAAATTCTAATTAAAAATATATAGTTTTGGAATTTTAGGTCAATTAAGATAAATTCACGAACTTTTATTACTCCAGTGTAAGGACGTAGAGGAGCGTCCGGTTGGAGGCAAAATCCCGCCAAAAAAACTCGGTATTTTCTTGGTGCAACTAGGTATTATTTGATATTAACGAGGAATACCACTCTTTGAGGACCAATACCAAGTTATACCGAGCTGTATCGAGAAATACCGAGTTGTACCGAGTTTTTTAGGAAAAACTCGGTACAACTTTTGTATAACTCATTATTTCTCGGTTTAGCTCGATATAACTTGATATTGGGTCTTCAAATGATGGTATTCCTTGTTATAATTTGTCTGAGAGCGTGAATGTGCCTGCGTAACCGTCCGAGAGAAGTGTTTTTATGCCGTGAGAGAGGCGGTGATTGAAACGTCGTATCCTTTGGGGCTTTTAGTCGGTGGCTTCGGTCGTGAGGTGGCCGTTACAGTCAACAAAATGATGGTATTCCTTGTTATAGTTTGGTATTGCTAGGTATTTGCTCGGTACAACTCGTTTTTTGGCGGGATTTGACCTCCGACCGGACGTTCCTTTGCGTCCGGTCGGAGGACGTAATAATTGTTCTAAATTCACACACACATCACATACCTAAGCTATGAATAAAAGACATTTTAGTTGATAGTCAAAGCTCTCAACTAAGACATCAAGATGAGATAAATAAGTTGATATAATAAACTAAAATACCAGAGAGGGCGAGTGATTTCTTGGCATTTGGTGGAGGTTGAAGTTGAAACCCTGGTGGCAGAGAAGATGGAAAGAAGGATCCCTCAGTCTCCATTCTAGCCGTTTGATCTTTCTCGTAGGGCTGATGATGAGCTTGAGCTTGCAACATGGATGAAGGAAAGCTGACCCTTGATGATTGGATCATGTAATTTAGCTGAGGGTGTTGATGATACAGATAAGTTGGAGCACCACCGTTCGATCGTATGGTCGAGCCGTACATCATCTGATGATAGTATTGTGATGCCAATTCAGAATGGTACGCGCCCTATAATATTTTTAAAACGCACCAGTTAATGTTGAATTACTATACAATCTTATATGTTTTTTTTTTTTATAATTTAGAAAAAAATATCGTGTAATGATATTCATGTAATTTTGTACCAATGTTAGGATCTCATTTTGTAATAATTTTCAAATGTTTTTTTTATGACAAATTTTTTTTTTGCAAAGAATGGGCAGTAACATTAATTATTACGGATGGGCCCCTTCTTCATTTATTTCATGAGCATGAACTATTCATTTTAGAGCAGCTTATACATTCCTATGAGAATAATAGTTATTAATTTTATATGCAATTCTATAATATTACAAAATGAAACCTAAAATTAAACCTAATCAATTATATGCTTAACTTGTTGGTTCAATTGTGACATAGAACTTAACTTATTTTAGGATTTGTTTGGGATGGCTATAATATTTTATGAAGTTGATTATGAAGTTGTTATGCAGAAAACAGTTTAATTAATTTGATTGTAAAAAATAAATTTTCACTCACTATAATGATTTTTGAAAAGCAATCAAAAAGAAACTAAAAAATAATAAGAAAACAAAATTGTGATAGTTACTTGAAAAGCAAAGCAGACTATCTTAAGCAGGCTCTTAGTTTGCAAACTAAATAACCTTTGCAATTGATTATGTGAACTTTTATTAAATCTGATAGCATATACAAGTTTTCATCAGTGTCAAAACAAAAATTACTTATGAGCCTTAACAGTTCAGCAATCAAGTTAATTATTACTAAAAAAGTATCACGAGGAGATCAAAATAATTAATTAGTTATTTACATAATTAACTCATTATTTATGCACAATTATTTTCTGAATATATAAAATTTGTTTTGAGTGCCAAAACTATTTTTATATTTTTTTGCAATTACATTGAAAGCAGGAAAAGGGAATGGCGTCATAAGAGTTCAGAGGAAGACTAACCTGCTGATAGCCATACTCTGAAGCATATGTCATGTAACTGCAAGAATTAACCAAAATTAACTCTTTTAGACATCGATCCTTCGGTTATTTTTGCAAATTTATAATCATAAACATGACCAAGTGCTACTGTCCAATGCCCATAGGAATTGTTTGAAATAATTGTGTAAATATTATATTAATGAAAGATAGTTACAGAATTATAAACACTTCATATGGAAAATTAATTATCCATTAACCACTAACATAATTCAAATTATCTGTTATAATTATTAAAACTATTTTTTTATAATTACAATTTAGATGATTGATAATATACTAATTTTTATACAATCTTCCAACCATTTGGATCTGAGCTGGGCCAGCTGACCCGACCCAAATTCAAACAGCTAAGAGGCCTACATCTCACTGGCAATGGTTAGTTTAACAAACTTATCTAACTAATGAGCGTTAATTAATTGGTTAATTCTTTGGGGTCCCATTCACTATTCTGTTTCCTCTGTTAGAACTTACCCATATGGTGTGGGGTAGACCACCTGAGGCATTTGAACTGGCACTCTAGCGTACGGTGGTGCAATTGATTGTGGTGGGGCCACGTAGGATCTTCCTGCTCCTTGGTTTCGTTCTGGAGAAGGTATATTGCATGCTCGAGTGATCAATTAACAAGTAGAGGCTTAATAATTATTTAGCACAAAAAATATATAAAAATTTTAAAAGATTTGTATTTATATTTATATTATTTATGCACACAGCATTTTGACGTACACTCTTATTATAAGAAGCCATCGGCCAAATCTTCGAAAAGAGCTGAGTCAGCTCGGCGTAGGACATGGGAGAACTTATCCGGTGAGCTGGCTGGCTCTCCATGCTTATCTTAACCAGCAATGGTGGTGAGCCCCACCAGGACCTTTTCTCCGCTACTCCCAATAGCATCAAATTATAATTAAAATACATGCTTTCTATATTCTCCAAATTAAATCATCCATCTGTTAAACCTAATTAAGTCAAATTATAATCATCAAAAAATTAATTTAATTTGTTTTGAGAAGAATATAATTTAAAGCATTTGAACCAAATTTTCTAATCCTTTTTTTTTTTCATTAATATTCCAAAGTTTTTAGATTTTGAGGGTACACAAAGTACCTCGCTGGGTTGAAGGACGAGGACGGCCAAGCGCCGCAATGTTGCAGTTGGCCCGCCTGCCATCAATTAGCGGGTTTGGATCCGTTATCGACCGTCTTGCAGATTCTGGATCACGAAACGTCACCTGCCCATTAAGGATAAGCCAATTTGAAAAAAATGAACCAATATTGCAAGCAAATCATAATCTCATATTAATGGCGTATAATTCCAAGAAAAAAAAATTAGAAATATAAAGACGACCAAGAACAGAGAACAACAAGCATAAATGCAGATACATTTCTTTTAATCCTTAGCTTGTTTTTTTTCAAATTTTTGCAGGGTGTTTAATGCCTGACAACATCAATAGTAGTTACTAATAATTAGATGATCAGAAGGCTCTCAGAGAGAGAGAGAGAGAGAGAGAGAGAGAGAGAGAACTGCGTACAAATCCATAGCCCTTGGATCTTCCCGTGTTCTTCTCTGTGATGATGACAGCCTCGAGGATCTCCCCGAACTTCTCGAAGTATTGCCGGAGCTCCTCTGTTGGTGTCTCCCAGGCCAAGCCCCCGACAAACACCTTCGTCAACGTCGTGTCCCCAAACCTCGACCTGTAATAGTGAGGACTATTCTCTCCAATACTCCCCATCACAATCTCTCTCTCTCTCTCTCTCTCTCAGAAGAAGAAGAAGAAGAAGAAGAATTAATTACTGATCTTGTTCTGCTCTATTACTCTCCCTTCTGATCTCTATTTTCAATCTCCTCCTCTTCCATGTGAAGAAAAGGAGACGAGGGGAGAGAGAATAAATGGTCAAGAAGAGAGAAACAGTACACAGATTGACAGCTTTGTGATTCTTTTCCTTTACTTTCTATCTCTCTATCTCTCTATCTCTCTTCTGTCAAGCCCCAAATATGGTAGCTTCGGTCCACAATGTCTCTCTTGGTCATTAATACTATACAAAGACACCAACTACATATACACTTAATAATAAAATTAAAAGGCCAGGTGGGGCTCTCGCTTACAATTCACAGCCTCCTTGAGCTAAGTTAGTTTGCATTATATAAGGACGTTGGGTGGGTTATTTGACTAAGAATTCATAGCTAATCCCTCGTGGTTTGGGTTTTTAATAGGAGCATAGCTAATTTTTTCTGAACATTTTGTACAAGGCAAAATATGCATTATAAAAAAAAAAGATTGATCAAAATATACTTGACATGATAGAAACAAAATTAATGACAAAAGTAAAAATAAAATAAAATAAAAACATCGCTAGAGTGTGGCTCGGAAGATTGAGCTTGATATAACGAACGCTTGATCAAAATTAAAGAAGTACTTGTTCAATTATACTATCAAGATATGCATCAAAATATAATTAGGTTGAGTTAGGGGTGTAACTAGTTAAGAAAATTCATAAATTTGCTCGGGCTCGACTAGATAAATAGCACTTGAGCTGAGATTGATGAGCTAAAAAAATTAAATTTTAGGTAGCCACTACTCAACTTGTTAGTTCATGAGCCGACTAGTTAAAAAAAAAATTAATAATAAATGTATTTAAAATCTAATTAAAATTCCATAATTTTATTATAAAGTTGTGAAAAGATTTAAAAATCAATTGAAAGCATACATTTATAATAAGAATACTTAAAAATCATATTTATTTTTTTTATTATTTCTATCATATTTTTATAAAAATTATTTGAATAACAATGATATTCTCTCCTTCATAATAATAACTAAGTAGGTATGTGAGCCAACTTAAACTCATAAAATTAAGCTCAAATTTGATTAATTATAGAGCTTAAGCTCAAATTAGAAGTTGCTCTGCTAAAAAAGGAGAGAGATTAACCTAAGGACTTAAAAAATAGACTTAAAAATCAAAATCAGAAAAAAGGTGACACAGAAACATAGAGATTCATGCAGACAATAAGATTTAAATAATAGCAATAATTATATTGAGAAACCCATGGAAGAACAAGAGATTATTAAGTACGTGGAGTTCATAAACAATTTTTCATCCAGATCGACTTCAATCACATGAAGACACGTGCATTTTTTCTCTAATGATTATACATTGTGTACAAGAGAGGAAAAAAAGTTCACGTCTTCACATGATTATAATCCTAATGGCATCCGAACTATTCCGCACGTAATAATTTTTCTAAAGAATTAAGAAAACCACATACAATCCACCGCCAAAATTATAATGAAGAGTAAACACAAAAAATATGAGATGGTTCCAATCAGAGGCGGAACCCCATGGCTGTCAGGGGGGCAATTGCCCCCCCTCAAAAATTTTAAAAAATTTATTTATATGATTTTGGCAATTACCCATTTTCATTTATTTTTTAGTCTTTATTACAAGAATTTTTAGGCAAATGCCCCCCCCCCCCTAAAAATTTGAAAATACTATGGTCTTTAGGTAATTGCCCCCAACAGGTCGAATCCCGCCAGGGAGCACTGCCCCTTAGACTCCCGACATATATGTCTTATAAGTTTACCTCCCCTAAAAATTAGGGCTAGTTCCGCCCCTGGTTCCAATCATGATAAAATCAGCCAAAGGAGCCACTAACTTTTATCATAATGTAACAATTAAAAGATTTTGGTCAACTAATACAGTGTATGTGAATTTATTTTAATTTATCTAAATGTAAAAAAAAAAAACTGCTTTTTTAGATCAGATATTTCGGTAATAAGACAATAATATTTTCCTAAGGATCTATGCTTCTACTTTCTTTCTAGCTAAACCCACTTGTCCACCGCCAGCTGAGTCAGATGGACGTGAATCTCCATTCATCCACTCCTTGACGAATAATTATTAGGTGCGGAGTGCAAATGGGGAGAGCACCGTCTGCACAGACACAGGGTACCAAGCGGTACCTAGTGGTACCCAGCGGTACCGAACGGTACCTAGCTGAATTTTATACTAGTGTGCAGACGGTTCTCCCCGTCTGCACTCTGCACCTAATAATTTCTCCTCCGTGACACCGTATCTTAACGAAATTTTGGACTGCTTAGTTTTGTTATCATACAAAAATATATTAATGTATTCGCATAATATATGATTAACACTTATAATCTTAAACTTTTATGTTAAAAAATAAATTTAATCAGTAATATAATGACTGTGTCAATGTTCTCTAATAAATTTAAAGCCATTTAATTTTTTTCATCGTGTCCTGCATGTTGTTTTTAGGAACTTTTATTTTATCCAGTGAACGTACGCTCCTCTACGTTCGGTTCTAGGCAAAAAAAGCGCAATACCGAGTACCGAGTACCGAGTTGTACCGAGTTTTTTTCAAAAAACTCGGTATTGCGCTGTTTTGGTCTAAAACCGAACGTAGAAGAGCGTACGTTCATTGGATGTAATAAAAGTTCTGTTTTTAGACTGTAGTATTCTTCTCCATTGGAAAAGGATAGCGGAGAGTACTAAAAGTAAAGTTCCTAACTCTAACATAAGAAACAAAATATTAATTAGGAAAATTTGGTCTTATTTTACGTCCAACATAAGATTTGAAGTTCTAAATCTATATTGAGATTAATAAAATTTATGAGAACATGTATAAATATTAATCTTATAATAAATTTTAGAGGTCTAAAGCTCGGCATAGAAAAATGAGTTATGATATTTTTATACATTTTATTTATAAATAGTAAAAAGAATTCATCATTTTATTTATTAATTTGAATTATAAAAAATATCCTTACAATCAAAATTTGTTTCGCAGGGGTGCTGCCCCTGAAAAAACTCATAGGGGTGCAGTGCTGCCCCTTGACCCCGCGAACTGACTGAACCCTGCCACGGGGCACTACCTCCTTGGACTTGAATATGAACATTGTTTAATTAATTAGAGGTAAAAATTATGTCAATATATCCTAATTAGATTTTTCATTAGGATCGATTTTAAAGCCCATCATGATTTTTTTTTATAGAGTTATTATTCTAACACAAAATTTTTCATTAATTACATCCAAATATTTTTTTTTATTTTTATCTGTATTCATATTATAAGAGTTTTAACTAATGATAGAATGATATCATAACAATGATTAAAATTGCTGCAAATTAAGGCTTCATTTACGACGGCTTTCTTACTGTTTCTTAAAATAATTTTTTAGTATAAATTTTTTAATTTTTGTACTAGAAAGCTACTTTAAGAAACAGTAAGAAAGATATCTCAAACGAAACCTAAATTATAACGATAAAGCTTCCCCAACAGTTATAAAACCTTTGCCAATATTATTCTAGCTGTTAATACTCACAGTAGCTTAACAGCTGTTCTAAAATCACTTAATTTCTTTCCTGACAGTTTAAAACCCCCCACTATATAAAACCCTTCAAAACTACAACAATAGCTTTTTTTGAAATAGTTACTTAGGCTTGTTAAGTTATTAAGGAGGTGTAATAAGAGTTTTAAATAAGCCATTAGGTTAGGTTTGAAAGAGAAAGGTCAAATTATGCCCATTCAACTACTGCCGGCCTTTTGATCAAATCTTATATGCAAATAGCATTAGACGTAAGGTGAGTGCTATATATTGATAGGTTATTATAGAAATTGTATTGCTGTCATCAAGCTAGCAGGTTTAATTGATCAATTCTTAATGACATATTAGCGGCCTTAAGTGCTTGTCAATGTAAAAGGACAAAGTAATAATATTAAGAATATCTTTCACTTTCAATTATTTGATGATATTAATTTAACTACCACATTTTCAAGCAGTAAATGATTATTTTTTAATCAAATGATATGCCGAACCATTTGGCATCAGTACTTCACATGTGATTAAAAAGGTTTTATCTTTATCGAAAAATTATTTATATCTTACAACTTGGTATTTATTGGAAATATGTTTAAATAATATCATCTCTTGTGGTCGAGCATTATATAACATTCTATAACACAAAAAATTATGTAAATTTTAATTTCTCATTTGTTGAGAGATAGAGAGAGAGAGAGTCATTTCTCTTATGGCAATATTTTTTTTAATAAAACAATATTTTATTAAAAGAAGGAAAAAATTACAGCACCCACGGACCAACAGCCACTATAGCAAAACAACAAAAAATCAAACAGGACAGCAATATACGAAACAACAACAAGCAGAACAAAATAAGACTTAATCGGACTCGGGAATGGAAGCCCCCTGTACCAACCCCGCGGCCAACCACGGACCATCCATAGGTGAGAACCCCACAAAGCCAACACCACCATGAAATCCAAGCAAAAGGCCAAAACACCCAGGTTGCCAACCAGCCGAGGCAACAAGGGGAAGCTAGGAGCTTCCTCATCATCGTCCACAAAGCCATCAAATACCATTGTCGATGTAAAAATAGGAAAGAATCACAGCCTATTTCTTCTTGCCTTTACTATTACACCTTTTACCACCATTAAGACAACTATGTACAACAAAATTAACAGGCAAATCCTCCTTAAAGTCATCAAATTCCTCCTCCTCCCTCGCAAGAAGAAGAAGAAAAAGAGTCATCCAAAACTAACCAATCAGTTTAAGCCAGAACAGAGTTTTTCACAGACTTAGCCACATGAGACTTCAATTCATTGTTAGACATAATTGATATAGGAACATTAATAAAAGTGGTAAAATAGAATTGGACACATTCAAATCTAAAATAACAAGCGAAGCCACAACAGCTTGTTCCACCAAATTGATAGAAGAGGAAACACCACAACCAACCAACTCAACAGGGTTAGAAGGCACAAAATCCCCAGAATTAACCTCCATAGACAGTTCTCTCGGGCCAGGCATAACATCCACACAAGAAAAACTAGCATTAAGATTAGTATCACAAATCATATCTCCAGCCTCACCAACAGATAACCGAGGAACAGGGGAACCAGGTTCCACCGCAACTTCCACAGAATCAAGAGGA